CAAGGATGGAGCCAGAGAGTATAATGCTAAGCAAAATAAGTCAGACAGAGAAAGACAAGTATATGATTTCACTCATATGTAGAATTTAAGAAACAAAGCAACCAAGAAAAGGGAGGAAAAAAGAGAGAAAGAGAAACAAAAAGAAACACTCTAAGTTGTAGAAAACAAACTGTTGGTTACCAGAGAGGGAGGGAGTAGAGGAGTACAGGAAGTGGGTGAGGGAATGTGTTAAATAGGGGGTGGGGTAATTAAGGAGTACAGTTGTCTGATGAACACCAGGTGATATGGAAGTGTTGAATCACTATAGTATACACCTAGAACTAGTATAACATTGTATGTTAACTAACTGGAATAAAGCAAAATACTGCAGATGGATTAAAAAAAAAACACCTAAATATAAAAATAAATGATTATAAGAAAAAAAGGAAAATATGTGGTAATGGATTGTGTTTGTTTGGCTACATATCAGAGTGTAATATCTCTCTGTATAGTTGTAGGTTGCCTGGGATGGACCTCACATCTTGGTTTTGATGAAGTTCTAGAATATAGGTGAGGTTCGGTGGGGTGAGGTCCGGAGACAATGACCGAAAAAGAACTCTTGAGACATCTTTGGTGCAAAATGGTGGTTTATTAAAGCACTGCAACAGGACCAATGGGCAGGAAGAGCTGCTGCCCCCGGGTTGTGAGAGAAGGCAGGTTATGTACTATGGGGTTTGGGGAAGTAAGGAAAAGGGAGGTTTCAATAGAACTTTCATATGCTAATGAGGACCTAGAAGACACCTGATACCAGAGGCCTTGCCATTGCCAAGGTCTTTTTGCCCTCTAGCAAGGTATTAACATTAAGATGGGTGGGAGATTCCTAAAGAATGTCACATATGTCTCACACAAGAGTGGGGGTGGGGGGAGGTTGCAAGGTGTCAGCCTCTTGCTTTGTCATCAGCCAGCCTTCTGTTCCCTCATCAATTTCATGATAATTCAGCAAGAAAAGATTTTTTTTCCCCCTCCTACTACCTTTGTGGGAAGGTTTTAGAACATTTTTGCTTGTTTTAATTTATTTTTTGAACACTGTCACCTACCTACCATATCATTTAGAGGGGATACAGGTGGTATAAAAAACCAGGAATGTCTTGGGGGAAAAAAAGTATTTCTTCATGAAGTAGGGAAGAAGCATTCTTTTAACATCATCCTTAACAATTCAGGCATCACATCCACAAAATAAAGTTAGATGCCCCTCACATGTTTCCCATAGCATTCTGGAAGAGATTTTTTTCAACAAACGTGACATGATCATGAATTTATTAGTTTGTCTTCTTTCATATCTGAGCTACATGAGTGCAAGTAATGTCCACTGAGCACAGTGCCTGCTGCATGTAGATTTTGATACTTGGTCATGGAAATAATAAGCGAATAAAATAAGCGATTTCGTTTTCACATTGTGTTTTTCATGTATTCTGAATACATAAATATTTTGGTGTGTTGTAGCTTGTGTTACTCTTCATTTATTTCCAAGGATAAGAAATTTAAATGTCAGTAAAGTTTCAATTACTAAAAACCACAAATTGATCTAAAAGCTATGAATTAAAAATGTTCCAATTATATTCATGTAAATAATATATAAATGCTTATGAGTTTCTGAATTCAAATCTGTGTATATAAAGTATCTAATTATTGTGACTATCAAATTATAGAAACTTAGAACAAAAACAATACATAAGATTTATACAGTGACAAAACATTAATTTTCCATCAGATAACCATATTCCATAAGATGATACAATTATAGGGGTGCCTGGGTGGCTCAGTGGGTTAAGCCTCTGCCTTCAGCCCAGGTCATGATCTCAGGGTCCTGGGATAGAGCCCCACATGGAGCTCTCTGCTCAGCGGGGAGCCTTTTTCCCCTCTCTCTCTGCCTGCCTCTCTGCCTACTTGTGATCTCTCTCTCTCTGTCAAAGAGATAAATAAAATCTTAAAAAAAAAAAAATGATACAATTCCAGGCCTTTTCAAATTATCTAGTAGGGTTGTAGTGGGATATTTATAGGAAGAAGTCCTGTTAAACCTTTATAGGAAACAAATTAGTATAGTTGCCTATAGGGGAGGAGAAATAATTTTTCCTTTACCCTTCTAGCCTTCTTGGCTCTGAGCTGAGACTCCCCTGGAATAAAAGAGATTAATGGGAGCAAAACAAACAGAAGTTTACTAACCTGTACACGGGAGATACGGGAGATATGCAAGAAAACTGACTAACTCTCCAAAGTGGCCTAAAGCACCACCTTAAATACCCTCCCCAGCAAAAGATAAAAGGAAATGTTGGGGGTGGGAGCCAGTTTGGGGAAGCTATCAAGAAAAGCATAGTAAACAAGGATAAGATTGTTAGGCAGATTTAGTTTGTTGATGTCTTAAGAGTTTCTAGAGCTTTAGTCATTCTCCTTTTCCAGTTACAGTGATGGAAACATTTTTACAAGTGGAGATTTTCCATGTAAATGTAGAAGTCCTTTAGGAAAAGTTTTCTTATACTGTTTAAAGAGCTTTTCCCCTGTCTGCTGTTTCTTAAAAATTAACCAGCTCGAGATAATACTTGTGACAAAGAGGGGTATTTTGGGGTGGCAAATTCTGTTCCCCTTCATGTCTAAAAGATTAATTTTAATTCTCATTTCTCTTATTTATACTTAATTTTCATCTCTTTTGAAATACTAAAAACACTATGTACAGGTTTAAGGAGTGACATGGATATGGTTAAAAGAATTCCCCAAAGCTACAAAATCTTAAATTTTTTATAGAAACATTTTAATCTTCTAGATTAAGTCTGGATATAAGACCATAGATATTTAAATATTGAATTTTAGCCCATGTTTAAATGTTAATTTTTTTAGAACCACTATCACAGGTTTTAGCTGTTTGGTTGCAAATTTTTATTTTATACATAGACTGGCTGGTTTCTTCAAACCACACATAATATAATTAATAACTTAAATTCCTTATACTCTTTGGGTAGCCAATATTTTTGCACTAATGCTTTTATTCTTCTTATTCAGTCTCTTGTTTCAGTATCCAGGAGAAACTTACAAATATCACCTTTTTTATTTTATTTTAACTGTGTGATTGATTGTGTTTTATTGACTTTTAATGTGCAACATAAAATAAATCAGTACTGCAGTGTTTGGAGATTTGGATGTAATTGTATACTTTATAAATAATTTTGAACTGTATTTTATATTCCTATTCTTATTAATAGTCATCATTAAAATTGAAAGTATTTGCAGAATATTCTAAGACTTCAAAGTGGTATTTATAAATATAAGTTGACTCATAGTACTATTTATAAATAATATGTTATACTCCAAGGATATCAATGTAACAAAAATACTAAACAGTATCTTGGAAAAACTAGCCTCCTTGATGCTATTTTCTCTACTTTCTTTATTTAAATATTCCTTATTAATTAAAGAGCCAAATAGTGAATTCTGTTTTTAGCAGAAATTTTGACAGAACCAAGTTTCAAGAATCCTGGATTGGAGTCATGGCAGGTATATAGCAAGTGCTGGGACTTATTTAACATGTGACCTTGGAAGACGGTTTCCTTTTCAGCAAATCGGCACAATGGTATCCATTCCCCCATCTCATATAGGCTTAGAGTTCATTGTCCAGGGTGCTCTTCAGTGTCATCATTTGGACAATTGATGTATATACTCACTCTATGCAATATAAGCAATATGCAAATAATATGAGCTACAGATAGAGTTGGCTGCATGCAGCAAATTCATTTCAGGTAAATTCCTTCTCAGGAAAGAGTATTGTAAAAAGATCAATACATTTATTAGCAAATTTTAAATATGACTGCCACAAAACTTTACTGATTAAAAAATAGATGTACCTACATTATCTTCTCTGTTCTTTCGAGTTTCAAAATTAAGTTTTCTATTTCAGTTAGCTAATATTATATGTATGTTCTATGCATTGTGGGCAGAAGAAATTAAATATACTTAATACTGCTAAGCTGTACACTTAAAAATGGTTAAGATGCTAAATTTTATGTTATGCATTTTTACCTGTAATTTTTAAAATTCATTGGTACTTCTTCCTATCTTATACTTCTAGTGACATAATTTTTCTGACATAAAATATGATTAACAAATTTGATCACATGTATATGTTAGGAAAATTTAGATTTCCTAATATTTCCTTGATACAAACTATCAATATTTTCCTTGGTTATTAGATTTCAAACATTTTTCTCCACCCAACAGTAAAAATCAGTTCCATGGTTTACATTGACTCAAAGAGGAATTTTCTTGTCTTTTCTAGCTCTTGCACAATTATAAGCACTCATTTTGGGATGTGTGTTTTGTAAGCATTATTGCTAACTGCCTCAAATGACTTACAGAAGAAAGCAATAATTAAAGACTGCATTCAGTGCCAGTGTAATATTTGGGAGGAAATACACATTTTGAGAGAGATATATCTCCTTGAATTTTTAGGAACAGTCAAGCAATAAAAATGACCTATCTGTGCGGTACACCTCAGTGTACACACCTCAGTACTCAGATTTGAATTAAAATTTATTGAAGAACGATACAGTGATAAAAGCAAATGTTCTATCATTTATTAATTATATTTAAAATTTACATGAATCTATTAAGGACATTATATAATGTTTCCACTTTATGCTTTAAACAATTACAAACATTTGGCATAAAATAATGTGCATATCAATGTAACAAGTTTGAAGAGTGGGAAATGAGAATCTGAAGTCTGCCTTCCTTCTAATGATGATCATTAACACTCCCAATGAACGGATCATAGATTTCGCTTTCAAAATTCTAACATTTTTTTTTTTTATGAACAAATTTCTAAGGGACTTTAACATGCAGCGGATATATATAACATTCAGAATAACTAGCTTCCATGCTTACACTGAACTCAACATAAGGCAAAAGCCCATAATTGTACTGATTCTTTGGCTCAGTATGTTCAAAAAGCAAAGCAATGTGGTAAGCCTAATGAAAACAATCCTTTGTGTTCGCCAGCTTCAGATTGCTAATATGGTTGCAATAAAATTCAACCATCCTCTCTGATGAAATGTGCAGCTTTGATTAGCAGAGCAGTTTGTTTTCTGAATGCAAGAGACAGGCATGAATCTATTTCTCTAATTGTCCTCATAGTTGAGAAAATGAGGAAGAAGCGTGTTTGTTTTAATAAAACATCATTCTGCCTCCTAGAATGACCACATCTGATTAGGAAATAGTAAACCAATCAGATTCTGTCAGATGAAATATCATGTCTTCGACCTCTTTGACATTGCCACAAACTATAAAACAATTGAAGGAGTTGTAGTCATGAAATTATCCATGTCACAAATGGATCTCTCCTCTTAATTGCTCAAGAAAAACAAGCCTTTGGTAACTTTAGTTATTGTATGCTATAATACAAAACAAATTACCAATAACCATTCCTGAACTAACTAATATACGGCCAGACATTTTTCCCATAGCAGTTTGATGTTTATTTCGATTCCTATAATTCTCTTTGATCTTCTACCTCTTTTGACATCAGTAGGTAAATCTACAGAAATCCTTGTTCTTGAAGAATTTTCACCTCAGGAAGTTCTCATTCTTGCCTTCTGATATAAAAATAACCACTCCAGCAAATAAAATCTCTCCAAATAAAAATAAGTCAAGGTTGCTTGATGACTACCACACAGGCACCTGCTCTCCCAATATTCAAAGAAGCCATCTGTTGAAAAAGATGAAACACAATTTAAGACAAATTTTACTGTCATAGGAAAGCATACAGTTGTAATATATTTAAAACATTCATATGTGTGAAAATCATAAATACATGTGCTTATATTTTCCCAATTTAGTCACAAGTAGTAAAATAAAAATGGAAACATTGAAAATGGGTTTTACAAAAGAGCAATAATTTGCATATTGAAACTGTTAAAACTTGCATTCACTTTTGGAATTTTTAATACAAGTAGTAAAGTATTTAATGACTTTTAGTGACACAAAGGTGCTATAGAAAAGTTTCCAGCAAAGATTTATATCTGGGCATACATGGACACATTTGTGATGATATTTCATCGTGGTATTTTGGAGTATATTTTGGATGAAACAGCTATTACACTTATTGAAATCATTTTGAACTTATTTCCCCGGATATTATACTGAAATGTGTTATTCATTCATCCTAAACAGAGCCATACAATGAAGTAACTTCAATATTTGTCATAAATAGACCATAATTGACAATTGCTGTAGTGCTTATTTAAAAAATTCCTCCTTATGATAATCATTGCGATGAGAATTGAGATTTTTTTAGTAATTCGTGAATATGAAATTGGCTAGAAATATATTAAAACAATAATTTTTACAGTTTGTAATAAAAATTTATTCCATGAGGATAAGCCAAGATTTTAATAACTTGAGCATTTTGATGTGAATGATTTTTATAACAGTTTTCTAAGAATAATTTATGCACCTAAAATATCAGAGCAGGGTAGAAATTACAGGATATTATTCCAAGCTGTAAAGAAAGGAATAAAATGTAAGAAATAAAACAGCCAAGAGCAAAATAACCTCACATCACATGCATTATCTTATTGATTACGAAAGGATATGGTCTCACTCCCTAAATATGAAAATTACCATCATATCTACAGTTCTTCTAAACATACTTACTGTTAACTGACATCCTTTTGCAGGGTAAAAAAAAAACAAACAGAAACTTCCCATATAATCTATTTTTACTCATTTGTGTTAAGAATAATTTTTATGGGGCGACTGGGTGGCTCAGTGGGTTAAGCCGCTGCCTTCGGCTCAGGTCATGATCTCAGGTTCCTGGGATCGAGTCCCGCATCGGGCTCTGTGCTCAGCAGGGAGCCTGCTTCCCTTCTTCTCTCTCTGCCTGCCTCTCTGCCTACTTGTGAGCTCTCTCTGTCAAATAAATAAATAAAATCTTTAAAAAAAAAAGGATAATTTTTATGGATCACCGCATCACCTTTCTAATCTCATCATGTATTGTTATCTTTGCACGGCAGGTATGTGAACAGAATGTCAGGAGACTATATATAAATCAATGAGCCCAAACTGAAGTTTATGTGACTACAAAATGTATACATTTTTCATCATCTATCTTTTCATTTCCAATAATTTTTAAGTATTGTTTCACATCAGAGTCACTTAAAGATTTTCTACAAAGTATATGCTCTCAATGCCCACCATTACAGAAATGGGAGGAATATCAGGTAGTTGTATTTTTGAAAACCTTTCCAAATACCCTCTGATGTTCATTCAATACTGAGAAATCCTATACATAGTTTCCAGACAAAGTATAGAATGAATAGCTTTACTTTGTTTCTACATCTACATCTGCATCTCTAAACACGCATGTGTGTGTTTGTAAAAATCAATCTCTGTGCTTTTTCCCAAAAATGTGCTATTCTTCCTGTGTTTCTGGTGTCAGGTAATGACACACTCTCTATTCAGTTGCTCAAGACAGAAACCTGGATACATCCATGACCTTTAGTTTTACCTCATCAACCTCACATCTGAATACTCATCAAGTCCTACAGTCTCTCTCCATCCAACATGATTATACAAATTCCAGTGGTCTTCAGCCTGGTTCACATTACAATTCTACCTTGAGTGTGAAGGGTTGCAGAATATGCTACCCCATGATATGCAAATTTGGCATATTGATTATTTTGAATTCAATGTACTTCATAGATGTCTGGTACAGGAGGGACTCTCTGCCCCTTGGTCCCACGAAAGCAGGAGATAAATCTGCAGTGTGAAAGGCAACTTCCCTGTACCCGGAGGGTAGAAGTCATCGTTATCACCAGAGATAGAGATTTAGGGCCAAAAAGCTATATAAATAAAGCTTGTTACTGCTTCAGCAATTCACTACCACAAGCTCAAATCCTTGGTTTGACAGTTTGTCACAAATTTATCATTTTGTCTAAAAGTTATAAAGCTTCCTGCTTTGGCCACTTTTTGACTCTCCTATTTTTATGGGCTTCCCATACATACAAAACTACAGTTTTCTTCTGTTAATGTGTCTTGTATCAGTTTAATTATTAGGCCAACCAAATAACCTCGAAGGGAGAAGAGAAAAGTTTTCCAGCTCCACTGTGGATTGGTTAAAATATCCTAATGGATTTCTCTGACTCTAATCTTGCTTGTTCCTAATGATTTTTCACATCCCATCAAGTACAATCATTTTAAAATGCAATTCTGATTATTTACTTTCCCTCCTTAAAAGCTTCACTAACTTCCACTCAGCCTTACAGTTAAGTCATGATTCCATCACATGGCTTCAGGCCGTGCATCACATAGACACTGTTGATGTCTCCAAACTCCTTTCTCACCTCTTTATTTTTTGCATGTTATGTGTTCTTCCTGCAGTTCTTTATAAATTTTGTTTCTTAAACCACTCCCTATATTTTCACCTGCTTAACTATTACCCACCCATTAGGCCTCATTCTACTTGTCATTCCTTGAGCAAATATTTCTCAACCCAACACACTTAGTTTCTATCATAGTGCTAAGTATTTCCCTTACCACAGAATTTATCATGTTATTTTGAGCATTTGATATATTCTACATAATCACATTTTAAATATTTAAGAGAGCTTTTCCTCTTCTTCCCCTTGTTCTAACTTAATCTTATTTAATACATACTTTTAGAAAATCTGCCATGCTGTCCCTCCAAAGTTATACCTTCAGCCTTAGAATGACACCCTAAAAATGTTGGCCACAGAACCAACTGGAAAAAAATAAAACAAACAAACAAAACGGAGAATATAGATATTGCACCAGGCTCCCCTAGAACTTATTCTCAATATCTTCTATAGTAGCCCCTCCTTGAAGGGGGACATGTTCCAAGACTCCTAGGGGATCCCTGAAACCATGGATCATACCAAAACTATTATATACTGTTTTTCCCTATACATACATACCCTATGGTAAAGTTTAATTTACAAATCGAGTACCATAGGAGATTAACAATAATAATAATAATAACATAGAATATTTATAACAATATATTGTAATAAAAGTTTTGGGAATGCATTCTATCTTTCTCCAAATTTCTTACTCTGCTGTACTAACCCTTTTTCTTGTGTGATGTGACATGGGAAAACGCTTCCATAATGAGATGAAATGAGATGATGTCAGCATTGTGACATAGCATTAGACTACTACTGACCTGCTGACAGCACATCAGAAGGAGGGATAACTGCCTCCAGACTGTAGTAGACCACTGTCAACTGAAACCATGGAAAGCAAAACTGCTGATAAGAGGATATGACCGTACATATCTACTGCGTGCAAATAAGTATAACCCATGCACAGCAGCGCAAATTGAGTTGCAAGAGTAATGCTCAGCTTTCTTTAAGAAATATTCACATTTTTTCTTACCCCATGCCAACAGCTAAGCTAGTCTATGGGGAGATGATAGTAAATCACACACCACTGCAAGTGGATGCAGCCTGACAGGACTGTGACAATGGACTAAGAAAACATATGAAAGGGTGGTTTTACCCAGACCAGGAGGAATGGAATAAAGGTCTTTTCTTATGTTTTGAAGCAGGCATATTGTTTTGTTTTTTTTTTCAACTAAAATAAAAAAAATAAACCCAGTGTTAAATGTCAAAGGCAAATTTATTTATAAAAATACATACACGCCCATGTATACATGTATGCATGTGTTCTCAGTAAAACTATCTAAGACATGAATCTGGCAATTGCTCCCAGATCTGGGAAGTCTTGCAGATATACATTCTTGGATATTTAATATAGTTTATTTTATTCTCATGCTCAGTCATTTGGGGATGCCAGTGATAAATAGGATAACCTTTTGGTTTTGTCTGTTTATGGGGTAAATGGAGGGAAAGTGACAGGCATTATCTGGCCATATGGGATTTTTTTCCCTAGGGACCTAGAATCCTGAAAATCTTCAAAGGTATTTTGTGTGGGTCTGCTGATGGACTCTAGAAAATATAAATAATGAAAATATATGGAGGTAAAATCATAAAATAATTTAAGAGCTTAAAATTAATGTTTATTGTACTTAGAGTTGTTATAAAACATTTTAAATACCACCTTATTATTTAAAAGATATTATATGATCCAGAAAAGCACAATAAAATAAAATGAGGGAAAATGTTCTTCAGGAAGTTTTTACCTATTATTACTACATACATTATTTTGATTTCAATTTTAGAAGAGTGATAAGCATAAAGGCTCATTATTATATGTAATGAAGACTATATTCTATCACTGATATGCCCATAAACTTCCTTTATTTAATGTTCATTTGTAAAAGTGATATACTTTAAATATATGTCATTGAACTGGCACATTTCATTAGCAAATCAAGAATCATTAATCCATGCCATATTTCTCTGTAAATACTAAGGACCCAGAAAGAGAAGAGGTTAAACATATCTTCTAAAATATCAGTGTGATGATTACAATCTTCTTTTATATTTGCTGCTGCTCTTTGGATGATGAACGCATCTTCTCTTACAGTTAAAGTAAAACATAGAAAATCACATGACTTAGTTCTCCAAATACTTTCCCTTATCTTGTTCATTCTGCCTTCATTTTTCCTTTTAGCCAAATTCATCTATTTACATTGAAATCAGAGAGTTTTTTTCTTAGAGAAGGGTAAGATTCATAAGGCAGGCACTTTTGTCTGGACATTAGGAATTTAGTTTTGTACTTCAGAGTCAGCCTATCTCAATATTGTGGTTGAACATACATCATCAAGCTACAGAATCTAGGAACTACTGTGTCTTTAAAAGTCAATATATTTTAAAAGAAATATACTTCAATCAGTGTTCAAGTTCTAAACATTAAACTTTAGTCAATTTCTGTGGACCACCCTCCACCCCAATAGCAAATAGAACCCTTCATCCACTGAGGAATATTATGAGATGAGGTTCCTAATCTGCTTCAACTAAATAAGGCTTTGGAATCTCAGTGCACCCACTAATGGAAATGATTTGTTTGCTGGAATGGTATCTTGCTTTTAGGTTTCTGATAAAGGGGAGGAATAATAGAAATATTGAGACACTTGGAAAAGAAAGGAGGAAAATAGGGAGAAATTGAATGTAGGGACACAAGTCTGAGAATATATCCCTTCCCTCCATTACAAGCAAGGTCACAGTAGCTACACAGAATAAGCTGTTTTCCATTATAATTAAGTTGTACAGCACTTATTTCCCCCCGGCACCCACACATGCAACACAAATCTTCTAGTTGTGTAACCAGAACGGGAGCTGCCTAATTCTAAGCATGATCCCGAGTCTCTAACTACAATGTACTATATATCAAGAGATAACACCCTGCGTAAGATCAGCCAAATATGTTACTCCATCTTCCCAGCCAAAGTGATTGTCTGGGGGTGAGCACTTTCTACATGACAGATCATTTAGAGCCCTTTGCTGTTCTGTTTTTGTTTTCTGTTTATGGCTGTGAGGATTACTACTTGGAGATTCCAGCAGCTCCACTCCATGGAAAATTCTCTCTGTGGTAGATGAAAAGGGGACCTGATAGGACCTAAAGATTGTCAAGCAAATATAGGAGGCAGAAAGTTGATTTCTGTAGCTTTCCATCTTATTCCAGTTATCTCTAAGACCAGATATTCTAAAGTTAGGTTTTTGTGAATCAATATATTCCTCTTTGTTTTCTGTTTGTTTCAGCTAATTAAAATTCAGTTCCTGTCTGTTATTACTTATAATAAAGTGGAAATCCCATCAAGACGGGAATGTCACCTTTTAATATGAATTTCATTAAAGTAGAGAATACATAAAAGTACACATAAATGTGGGTTAGTGAACTTTTTACAAAATGAACATGAAAATGAACTAAATCAATCACTTTGGGCTCAAGGAAATTTAGAAGGAAGTAAATGAAGTAAGTTTTTGTATTTGAAGTAAATTATGCTGGCAACAGTCTTACCTGTGTCCACTCATTTGTTTGTGGATCATAGGATTCCATGGTGTTGAGGTATGTCTGCCCATCATAGCCACCAACAGCATATAATCTGTCACCAAGGAGACAGACTCCAACAGCATCTCTGGGCATACTCAAAGGAGCCACCATGGTCCATGTGTCTGTTTTGGGATCATATCTAAAATGTAAGGATAATAGGACATAGCATATTCTAATCACATTCAGTTTTTACTATATGAATAGTACTCTTTCAAAAGCACACCATGAGAAACAAAACTACCTTTTTTTTAGAAGCTCAGTCATTTGAGCATATGTTTAAGAGTTAATATCCACAACGTCTGGCTTTCTAAATTTTAAGGTATTTTAAACATATACCTAGACTCTTAGGTGGATGCCCAGATACTTAACAAGAATAAACATCATGATTTCTTTCCACAAGGAAGGCTGATATGTAAATAACTCTTTTGCACTGCAGGATGAGGTTCTGTAAAGCAAATATAAGTGCTATGATAATGAAACACAAGTAATGGTTAAAAATCTGAGAGGATTATGGAATTCTCCACAATTAAAGTCCCTTTTAAGTCAGGTCTAAAGGTGTAGCTAAATTTGCTAGAAAGAAAAGGAGACATTCATGCAAAAAAACCCTGATGTGTTAATAAGAATGCATGGCCAGTTTTAAGGGAAGCAGGCGTGCAGGGTGGCTAAATTCAGGGATCAAAGAAGGAGCAGAGTGCCTGAAAGGGTGGTTTCTGATCAGCTTATGGTTCATGTGATAGGTAGGAAGGTGTTTTGTGTTCTAATAGAAAAACTTGGGAAAAATAATTACAGTGTGAACAGAACTGTGCTTTAGTGGCATTATTTTGGATTCATGGTAAGGGAGAGATTGTTGTATCAAGAGATTGAAGCAGGGGGCCAAAATCATTATTACTGAATTTAAACCAAAGATAATTTAATTTCCAGAAAGTCTGACTACCATGCCTTACATACGGATATTTTGTATTTTGAGTGGCAAAACCTGAAAAATACTTTCGTGAATGTACTTTATTTCAGCTAAGAATAAATGATTAAACCAATTCTTTGCCTTTAACCTGCACCTTCAAGGTCAGATACAGAAATGAAAAAGCTAGTAAGAGCCCAGCAGAGTAAATATAAAAGAAGGCTGGGTGAAAGTTGGGTTTTGTTTGTTTGTTTGTTTGTTTTAACAGACACAATAAATATATTTTTAGTTTGTTTTTCTACTCCAATCTTGTGTTTCACCAATTGAAACTTTCAAACCACAGACTCCTAAAAAAAGAAACAAACACAAAAAAGCAGAAAACAAAAACAAAAAGCCACCACATGTTTATTGAAAATAAAGAAGTTTGTTACAAAAGAATGGCCAGGGAGGACCCCAAGGATCGGAAATTTATATTTCTCTATAGTCACATTATCCAAGGTGTTACATGCATTTACACAGAGCTGTGGGAGAGGTTGTGACAGCCAAGATAATCTATGTGAAATGAGAAATTGGTTGAATGCCTGTAAAACCAGGGCTACCACGAACCATATGCTGTCTAGCAATTAAAAATGTAATTTTACATGCTATAGTTAATAAATGTGAAACATCTCAAACACAGGCACGTATAGACACACACAAACATAGTCTATGCCATTAAAACTTTTATTTAAACTTACCATGAAGAAAAGACAACTTATCATGAACATTTTGAAATATAAAAGAGTTTTTAAAATAAGGACAAAAGAAAGAGGAGGAGGTAGAAGAGGCATCAGAAGAGGAGGAGAAGGAAAGAAGACACCCCAAGGAATCAAACAGGAGAATCCAGAGAGTGTAATGTTTTATAGGATAACTGACTAAATTCTCCGAGTCAATAGTGAAACAAGCAAACAAAACCCCCAGTAATAATGAATAGATAATTAGCAAGAAGTCGTTATTCAAAATGGATTGTGATTAAACAGAACAAAAAAATAAGTGGATCTTATGGATCCCAATTCAAATAGACCAACCATTAAAGGATGTTTGAAAATTTTAATATACCCTGGGCATTAGTTTTTCAAAAGGAATTACTGAAGTTCTTATTAGTTCTGATTATTGTTAGGTTAATAAAAGAAAAAAAAAAGTCCTGATGATTTTTGGTTGGTTGTTTCTGGGATGAAATCAGAAATATTTTAAGCTAAAATGATATGTTTCAGAATTTCTTTGAAATACTTCAAAAAAAAAAAAAAGAGAGAGAAGGGAAATGGGTAAAACATGAATGACACACTGGTGATCCTAGTTGAAGCTGGGTAATGAGTACAGGGAAGTTTATTCTATTGTTCACTTTTTTGTTTGTCAGAAAAGATCTGCAGTAAAAATAACTTTAAAAGTAAGAATGTATAGTGTACTTTAATTTCAGGGCAAAGCAAACGTTCTTTACACTTCATTCATTCTTCAGTAAAATCCAGGCTGGCTTTTGTCACAATAACTTCACTTACATAGCTTTTCCTGAAGTCATATTTTATCCTGCATTTAATTGCTATCCAGTTCTATAGAGTTTTTTCAGCTATTGTCTGCAAAGCTGACTTTATCACTTTGCAGAAAGGTGGGAGAACTGAGAAAATAGCCAACACTAGTGCATGAAGCAATAATAAATGAATTTCTGAAGACTTACGAAATTTCAGGTGAAACTCAAATATAGAACAATTCTCAAATTCTCATATTCCAGGGGAAAATAAGAAAACACTAGTATGTTCTATATTTAGGTGCACATTTAGAAATAATATCTTACATTTAGAAATAGATACCTCTTTTTTTATACATATTTTACAAAATTCCTGAAGAGAACTTTAAAAATTTAATGCATTCTGGAAAATCCAGATCTTTGATTTAGATGTGACTGTCTTTAAATCTAAGTAATATGTGTTTTCCTTATAATAACAAACTTTTAATTCATATGGAAATGGTGAAAATTTAAATTTAAATTTAAATGTGTATATTGCAACCCAAAATATGAAACCAAAACAAAAACAGTCTACCTCGTCCCCACCCATACACACACTCTCTCCTAGATACTGAGGAATAATTACAGAAATACAAAGTTACCTACTAGTGGTTTTCCTTGTTTTCACATTAATGACTCTAAATTGATTTTTCTATATTCAGAACTCAATGGATTCACCTCTCAGTCTGGAGATATACAAAGTTGTTACCCGCATAAATGAAATTAACAGCTTTTTTTTTAACCTAAGGAGAAGATCCCCAGATGTATAACCGTTTCCCAAACAATTAGCAGTGAACTCTGTCATTGTCAGTTAACATTTTTGATGAAACTTGGTCCGAAATATTATTTTTTCCTCTGGTTCTTTATTTATTTAAAAGAACAAGGCATTGGGGGCAGTGGGGGAAGTAGAGTAGCTGTCTTTTTGTATTTAGACTGTCTGCTTCTCCGACATCTCACCTTGGCCTTACTGGGCAGGGTGTGAGCTGTGTATCAGGGACTCTATTAAGGTTTATAGCCCTTAGGCAAGAGAACCACCAATATGTAGGGGCTAAAATTGGCTGTAAAATGGAAACTTGCTGAAGGCATATGAGAGTCACAGAATAAAACTTAGTGTCTCATTGAAAATCCCTATCGAAGTACCATTTTTGAGGTACCATTAATTTTTTAAGCCTTTTTTTTCCCATTATGTAAGGATAAATATTGATCTTAAAATATTTGAAGGGAAGCAGTTTTTAAGTATGCAGGCATTACTTTGGGAACAAATGGAATTCATACTCATTTTCCTAAATTTGTACCAGCAATATTCAGCCAGAAAGCAAATTGAACAACATAGAAGTGATTTGTAGCCAGGTTTGTTTGCCTGTAAAATAAAATAAAGAAAACAAAACAAAACAAAAACAGAGAAATAAGATGAGATCCATGCTGTGTAAATGGATGAACAGCTCTGAAAGAGTGGCTTTTAGAATTCTAGTAAATAAATTATGCAATCTGTGTTTGGATTTTCATAAATAATTTGAATTAAGCAATTAACAGTAACAATAATGCTGGTCAGAAATAAATTTTGTTTTTCCTGTAAAGAAAACCAATATCTATGTACCGGGTTTCCTGAGATTATCAAAAGAGATATGCCTTAACTTCAGGACTGCTTACGTGATGGGAATGGAAAATAAATTAATTCTAACAAAATGAATTTTGAAAAACTCCAGAATAACTGTGAAACTATTCCTATAAACATCATTGCTCAGATATTTTCATATATGCATATCTAATGGGTATTTAGGAATAGAATTTCTGGGTCAAAGAGAATGCATATTTTGAAATGCAGTAGATACTACCTATTGGTATTACAGAATTTGGGCCAATTTACACTCCTGCCATGAGTGTAGTAAGAGTTTCAGTTGCTCTACATCTTTTCCAACATTTGGTATTAACTATTCTCATTTTAGTCTTTCTAGTAGGTCCTGGTATGACATTGTGATTTTAATTTTCATTTCTCTGATGCCTAATAACATCAAGCATTTTCCCCAATAGTCATCTTTTCAAGAGTCTTGTTCAAATCTTCTGCCAAGATGTATTAGATGTATTAGATTTATGTATTAGAAACAAAGCTTCTGTTGGTTATATACTTTGCAAATATTTTTCCCACTCCCTGGCATAAATTTTTACTCTTCATGCTATCTTTTGGGAATGATTATTTATTTATTTTTATTTTAAAATTTTTTTTGTAATTTTATTTTATTTTTTTCAGTGTTCCAAGATTCATTGTTTATGCACCATACCCAGTGCTCTATGCAATATGTGCTCTCCTTAATACCCACCACCAGGCTCACCCAACCCCCACCCCAGAAAAAAACCCTCAGTTTGTTTCTCAGACTTCACAGTCTCTCATGGTTTATCTCCCCCTCCAGTTCCTCCAACTCATTTCTCCTCTCCATCTCCCAACATCCTCCGTTATTCCTTATCCTCCACAAGTAAGTGAAACCATATGATAATTGACTTTCTCTGCTTGACTTATTTCACTCAGCATAATCTCTTCCAGTCCCGTCCATGTTGCTACATGGTTCACCTCTCCTTCCAATTTCCCTCAACTCCCTTCTCCTCTCTAACTCCCCTTGTCCTCCATGCTATTTGTTATGCTCCACAAATAAGTGAAACCATATGATAATTGACTCTCTCTGCTTGACTTACTTCACTCAGCATA